ATCCATCAACACCTCAAAATCAAAACCATCAACCTTTATATACAAGCAATAATGATAATTTACAATCCAATTTTTCTATATAATTAGTATGCATACCTTTGTTTTACTATTGTCGAATGATTATCCCATAGCGTATTATAGACCGGAAAAGGAAAAGAAAAGATTTCGTTGAATGATGAATAGAATGAAAATGAAGGATATGATATAACTGAAAATCAAAGAATGGTCTTGGAATTTAAAGTTCCAAAAAAAATGCTTGAATACATCATGCAACTTTTGGAATTGATACGCAAATAATATTTACTATTATTATTATTATTATTACTTTATTATTATATTATTATCCTCAAATTTTTTTCCGTATTGCTATATATATCCTATATTCGTCAAATTTAAATTAATTAAGGAAAAAAAGGCAATAGCAATAAATTTTATGCAAAAACAAATACACAAAACAACAATATTGTAGATCAAGAAAACTAAATTGATTTTATTTGTTCGTTAATTTTTATTAAATTCAAAATTCATTTGCAAAAAATTTTTCACTTGTTTATAAAATACAAAGTATTTTATAATATATACATATATAACTATCATTATAATCTAAAAAGTGTTCACACTATGAATGGTGTATTTGTAAAACCATTTTTAACAACACAAGAAAAATAACATTGTTTTAATAAAAAATTTTGTTTACAAGCCATCCTGAAATGAACACCAATTTAATTTTAATAAATGAATGTTTGTAAGAATGAGAAATTTCCTTCTCAAAAAAAATAAATTTGAATCGTCCGTCATACTTTACCATAATATCAACCCTAACACGTTAAACAACAACAATTTCTTTATCCATTTCCAATATTGACATTTTTTCCTTTTATTATTATTGTTGTTGTTGTTGTTGTTGTTGTTGTTGTCGTTATCATCATCATCATCACCGCCCACCACTAATGTTGTTTGTGTCTTTTGCATTTATTTCAAAGTGGAAAAGTAAGGCTCACATTCCTCTTTTATATAGAGAAGAAAATGGAGGAAGACCAAAACTATTGATTAATGAAAATATTATTAGAATATTG